GGGGGGGGGGCGGGCCCGAGGGAGGCCACACCGACGTGGATGTGCGTCTGTGCGGTGGGGCGGAGGAGGAGGTCAGCCTCGTAGTGGTCGAAAGGGCGTACGTGTGTGTGCTCTGGCGCGGGCAGCCCCGAGCGAGGCCATGGCCCAGGGGTGCACGCACACCTTTTGGGTGTCTCTTTTGCGGGGGAGCCTTTTCGTCGGCCGTTGCGGTGGCTGGCGTTTCTCTCTCCGCTGGGGCGGGGACCGCGTGGCGGGGATGCGTCGGGGGGGGTGGGCTGACGGAGTCCCTTTACAGCGGGCCCTTGCCCCCGCCGCCGCCCCCGGGGGGGATGGCCGGCCCGGCCGGCACGGCCCGGGCCTGTCTTGGAGGAATGGGGACGCCGGGGCGGGCTATCCTGGGGCTGCTGCGTGAGGGTGGGTGTGGCGCGCGGGCGGGGGCGCGTCTGCTGGGGGGGGGGGGTCCTCGGATGGTCGCGGCCGGAGGGACGAGAGGAGCGGGGTTGCTCCCGGACGGGCTCTGAGCAGGGCCTTGGCGGGGGCGGAGGCCACGATCGCGGGGAGGGGCCGTCCGGGGGCCGGAATAGGGCCCGCAACGGGGGGGGGGGGGGGGGGGGGAAGCAGGTGTCAGCACCTTCCCCGCTCGGAGGGGGCTCGGCCCCAGGTGGACTGCGGTTCCGAGAAAAAGGGAGCCGCTTGTGGGCACCGGAATCCGGCTCCCGGGTTACGGGGGGTGTCTCGTGAAAAAGGCCCCACGTGCGGGGCTTTGGCGTCTTTGTTCTACGCCCTTCTGTCCGACGAGCCCCATGTGCGAAAGGGTGTGTTAGTGTGCTAGTATGTGTGTGTGTGAGAGAGAGAGAGAGGGGGGGGCGAGAGGGAGGGAGAGACAGGGGGTGCCTGCCTGCCTCAGCGAGGAGGGGCAGCCGCCGGCAACCGGCAGGGCGCGAGGGGCGAGAAAGAGGCACACATGTCCGGCCTCGGGTCCTCGTTCGGACGGGGGAAGAAGGAGCGTACGCCCGGGCGCGTGGGCTCCGAACCGAGAGGAGTTGGCATGTAGCGCCGCAGGGGCGATGGGCCGGACGCGGCGGCCGCCAGGGAGATCCATCTGAGTCGCTGGCCGGGGTGTCTCGTGGCGGGCGCACTTTCGGGAAAACCGAGCGAGGCAGAACCGGCGAGCGACGGACAAGGACCCAGTGGCATCGTGTTCTCACGGGGCGGTGGGAGGGCCGGAAGAATGGCGGCAGTTTCACCTGGCAGATGTTCGGACACATAGGAGCTTTGGCCGCCCAGCCGGCGGGGGTGATTCTCGGAGAGGGACGCGGGAGCTCGCGGGCGCGGCGGGTGCGCCCGGCGGTGTGCTTGCCGTTTGGTACTGGCGCGCACATGTGCAAGTGTGTGGCTGTGGCGTGGCGGAACTGGGGGAACTGAAGACCGGCCCGGATGCCGGTCCCCCCCCCCCTCCCCTCCCTCTCCCCGTCGCCAAGACTCGTAGGCCCCCGGATATCGACCCGGGCCCAGGCGCCGTCGCCCGCTCTCGGCCTCTTTCCTCGAGGGCTCGGCTGCCGGAATAGGCCGGGGATCGGCGAGGCGGTGGCCGGGGGAGGGCATGCTCCGGGGACAGGACGTTCGGGTGGTTCTTTCACCGGCGGCGTTCAAGCTGCCACGGGGGGCGCTGCCGCCACAGACGGGCTAGATCCGAGAAATGGCTGCCCCTCCAGGCGCTCAGAAGTTCAATGCGGCAGATGAACATGTCCGGCGGCGAGGCCGGGCGGCCGGGCGGCCTGGGGTGAATGACGAGGGATGCCGGGCCTGGTCGCGCCGGTCCCTTCGCGGCCGGAGAAAAGGGGTCCTTTCAAGGAGGGCCCCCTTCCCCCTCTCGGTGGTCGGGCGCTGGCGCGCAGATGCACACCAGTGGTGATGTGGAAGAAAGGGGGGTGCGGGCGCGGGCGCGGGGTCTCTTGTCCAGGGCCAGCTACTATTTTTTGCGCATCCTCGCCTCGGGCGGGGCCTGCCGCGTCAAGAGGGGAGAAGGGGCGCGGTGGGGTGTGGGTTGGGGGCGGTTAACCGCCGCTGTCCTGGGGTGCCAGCGCCCCGCCGGCGCCGCCCGCCCTCCGGTCACCGCCCTTGGCAAGCGGTCCAAGGGGGCGGCAGGGGGGCGGGGCCGGGAGTCGTTTCAACCGCGACGCCAGCGCATTCCTCTCGAAGAAGTGCCCCGGTCCCGGCGACCGACCAGGACCGGGGCATGAAAACGCGCGGGGGCGCGGGGCCCGCCGGGGGTCGCACTTGTCTTGCAGTGAGATCCGATGCCCCGGAGAGTGTCTCAACGGCGGCGGGAGGGCCAAAGGAATGGGCCGAGACGCGGGCCTGAGCTGCCAAAGGCACCCCCCGACCGTAAGCCAGAAACATGGACCACATTTCGCAGAACTCCCCCCCCCCCTGGCTGAGACTTGGGCGGATGCCGGGGCGGAGCCGGCGGGGGGGGGGGGGTCTTGCCCGTGCGTTTGCCGTCAGCTAGGCCCCCGATGGCAGGGAGGAGCAAGGCAGATGCGCTGATGTTCAAGCACACACACACACACACACACACACACACACACACACACACACACACACGCGCGCGCTATCGTGGCTGCACACCCTTCGGTCGAAGGCTCCACTCCATCAGAGCGCCCCCACCCCTGGTTATGGGGCGGGGGGGCGGGGCGGCGCGGTGGCCGTAGCAGGGGGAAGAGGGCAGGAGGAACACGCCAGACCCGGAGCGGGCAGCCGTCCCTACAGTCAGCCGCCAAGAAGAGATCAGGCCCGGCGCGGGCGCGACGACGACGGGGGCGAGGGGGGCGAGGGGGGCGAGGGGGGCGAGGGACGCCCCTGCAAGGCTATGGCCCCTCGGCTGCCCCCCGCCCGCCCCCCCTCCCCCGCCCCTGTGCCCTCGCACCCGTTTCGGCCCCCCGGTGCCCGAAGGCGCCCCGTGAGCGCCTCGCCATGCAAAGCTTGTGCCATCGGAGCGGCAGGCATTCCTCCAGGCTGGCCGGCCGCCATGCAGGGGTGCGGGGGCACCGCGCAGAGACGCACGGCGCACTTGCATGTGTGGGTATGCCTCATCCTCGGGCTCCGGGCGCCGACCTGCGCGCTGGCAGGTCGGGCGGATGAATCATCGGCTTGCGGTGGGCGGCCTGCAAGCCGCGGGGGGGGGGGGGGACAACAGTGTTGGCAGCCTCGAGGCGGCCGGGATCGGCTGGGACGGGGAGTCGAAGCGTGCGCGCGCACGCGGGTGCCTGTGTCCGTGCATGCGCCCGCCCGCAAAAGTATGCGTTCCACGCATTCATAAGAACTTGCCTCACCACGGCCAAGACCGGGGGAGGGAGCAGGACCGGGCCGATGTGCCCCCTAGAGGAGGCAATAAAAAGCCCCCACCCCTTGCGTGGTTGCCCGTCGGCTCCTGCGTGTCTGTGTGTGTGTGTGTGTGCGTGTGTGTCTGTTACCCGCACCCGGGCGTGCAGGCTCACCTGTCCGCCCGCCGGCCGGGAGGGGGCCGCCTTTGGGCGGGGTATCCCTCGGTGGTTGGCGTGCCCGCGTCTGGTTGGTGCATCCGCGCGCGCGCGCGCGCGCGCGCCCTCGCATGAGCCATCGGCCTTGGCACGCGGGATTCCTGAAACAGGACCGCTGCCGACCTGGGCTCCCCCTGCGCCCGGCTGAGACCGGGCGCCGGTTGGTCGACCGGCGGCGAGGGCCTTTCCGTGAGCGCGCGCGCGCCATGCCTTCTTCGGCGCCGGGTCTGGGGAATTCTCCGGTCCCCACGGCTGGCATCATCTGAGGGTCGGTCGGGGCAAACCCACTCGGGGCGAGAAGGGAAGTATGCAAGCAACTTCCAGCATCGGCCCCACTCCGGCCGTCCGTCTTCGGCGGGGGAGGACTCTTTTGTGGCTGGCGGGTTGCGACGACGGGTGCGCGCGCGTGCTCATGCGCGCCCCGCCGGCCGGCCGGGGCCACACTTCGCGGGCGAGCCCGCATGCATCGACACAATCGTCTGCGAGGGTGCCTGCTGTCGGCTCCGGGGCGGGCCGGGGTGGGGGGGGGGCGGGGGGGCCGCACAGGCTCGCACGCAGCCCATATCACCTGCCAAGAAAAGGAGCCCGAGAGGCGAGGGGGCTCATACATGGGGATATATATGATAATATGCCATAATCAGCCAAATAATGCCGCTGCTTGTGTAAGACGCCTGGGTCGTGGCGTCGCCGGCAACGCCCGGGGCCCATCTGGCCTGCCCCCGGCGCGCGAAAGCACCGAAGGCCCGTGGCCGATGACGAGATACGTGGCGATGCCCGTCGCCGGTGGCACGCCGAAAGGATCCCCACCAGGAGGTAAGGGACCGGAGGCCGGGGGGCCGGGCGAGGGGCCGGGGCTCGGAGGCGTGGGGGGATGGCTCAGCCCGCGCCCGGCCCGCCAGGGGGTGCGCGGCCGGACTGCAGGAGGGGCGCGGGGGGCCGGCGCGGGTGCGCGCGTGCAGGCACCAACGCCCCTGTGTCCCACGGACCTCCGCCTCACGAAGACGGGGGGGCCAGGGGGGGAGACCCTGGCCGGCTACGTGGCCTCGGGGGGGGGGG